AAGTCACCTGGGCCGAGGTCCCACTAGCAAAAAGGATAGGAGAGAGCTCCTGAATCTGGATGTGTTTTATGCAGAGGTGCAGAAAAGCAGTTCAATCTCGATTTCCTGCACCTCTCCACAATTACGTCCAGATTCAGGCATTCGATCCAATCCTCTTTGCTAGTGGGACCACGCCCCTGGGGCGATGTCCCACTAGCAAAGAGAATTGGATTGAATGCCTGAATCTGGACGTCTTTGTGGAAAGGTGCAGAAAATCGAGACTGAACTGCATAAACCATGTCCCGATTCAGGAGCGTAATCCAATCCTGTTTGCTACCTTCTTCCCCCGAATACAACGTACGGTCACTAAAGCTGTATTTGGAGTATATTTGAGTCTAAATACATCGATAATGACCGTACGTTGTATTCGGGGAGTGAAGGTATTAAGACCCCGCCCCTGTCTTCGAGACATCTGTAAGATCGGATCTACACAGAGAAGAGTCTTTTTTTTTTTTTTTTTTTGAGAAGATTAATTACTGTAAGGATGATCACGAAGCATACATCGATCGCAGAAACTGTCCAAATTTYTTTYTTTTTTTAATCCTTTTTTTTTGCAAAAATGGTCCAAATTACTAGTAAGCAACTCGTAGAAAGGCTTGCAAACAATGCAAAGATGTTTTTCTTTTTTTTGTTTGTTTGTTGTTCTTTTTTTTTTTGCAAAGATGGTTTTTATTCGTTATCTTATTTCTTGATTTTTTTCCTCGTCATCCTTGAGTGTGCAGGGGCGATGCTAATCAATCTTTCTTTCTTTTTTTCTTTTTCTTTTTTTTTTTTAAACCCTTCTCTTATATTCCAATTTCCAAATCAATTTAAGGGAGGCCGGGGACCTCACAATTCAACCCGGAGTTATCCTGCCAGCGTCAGTCGGTTTAGCTTATCAGGTAAATTTCCGTTCTTCCCAAAAGCTATCACTTTTACCGACTTAACAGGCAACTTCGCCTCCTTCTGAACGGTATCTAGACTTCCCTGTGAAATACCAATCAACCAACCTTTGCATCACTTATTTCCTCACATTTTCAGCTGATACTTCTACCCATGCTCCTATCATCCTACTGCCTACCACACCTAACTAACTGCCTACACTCCCACCTTACACAGGCCTAAGCACGGCCTGACACCGGTCTAAACCTGACCGATTGGAACAGAGTTCCTCGTATCCTTGGCACTCTACCACCCTCCTCCCCAAAGTGACCTCCTGCGATCTGAACCACGAACCGAGATGCCCTGGTTCGAAGACTCCTACCTACTGCCCTACTAACCACCATCTAGCAACCAGTTGGAGAAGACGAACCCCCGTGAGCGATGATAGCCCACTAGCTGGTTCCGAATAGCCCAGGTCCTAAAAAACCACCATGATAAACGTCAACAGGCTTTCCCCTCCCTTGCCTTCCTCCGCGAGTCCACTGTGATTGCTTGTCTCAAGCCTTTCTTAATTGCTGCCTTCAACTCCTTGTCTGAGTATGGCCGCCTTTCTATCCTGGAACGGTTACGGTCCGCCCAAGTGACTGCACAGATAACAGCCCTGGCCACCTGCGCTACATCTGGCCATCCCCTGAGTCCCTTGCTGTTTTCCTTGGTAAAGCCTAGCAAGACCCACTTCTCATCCATCCCACTCTATCTCTTCCCCCCCCATGGGTTGCCAGTGTGTTGCCCACCAGCGCCATATACATTTGGAAGCCGGGCACTCCCACCGTAGGTGTCCACCTGCAGCGAGTGCAACCCAAGTCCACTTCCACTTCCACCCCCCGATACTGCAGAAGGTGTCACCAAAAGCGACAACATCAAAAGTAAACCTTCGTGTTTTACGCTCGGGAGGTCCTGCCGAACCCTCCACAGTTTCCTAAAATTTTCCTCCTCTTCCTGCAGGTCCAAAGGTAACACAACACTCCATCTAGCAATTGCCACCAACGCTGGAGCCCTCGTTGGCTTCTTTGTAATTTTGTACGCTGCCCCAGATGAGAAGGTAACTAAGTTCAGGCCCTGAGGATGCGCCCTGGTTATTCTCCCCTCCGACCAGCTCCACGCCACGGGATCAATTGACAACTGACGGAGTGCTGTCTGTCCCACCCATTGTGTACTGCACACATTCCCTCTCCCATCTCCTCTGTGTCACACGTATCTGTGGGGGATTATCCCAGATTCGAATCGTTGCTGCGTGTTCTTCTGTCAGGCTGCCATCAGTGGTGCATACTGACCAGACTGTCACCTTCCTAAACCCGCTCTCTGTTCCCTCTCTGTCCCTCTCCCTCTTAAACGTGGACTATAAGATCCTGGCAAAAACAATGGCCCTAAGGTTAGGGAAGATTCTCCCCAGACTAGTGGAGTGGGACCAAGGGGCCTTCGTGAAAGGAAGGTCGATCTTTCTCAACATCCTAACGGCAATTTGAGTCAGTGGAGGTGTTGAGGGGAGAGAACAGGGATATGGCGGTGCTGATGTTGGATTTAGAGAAGGCATATACGATAGGGAGGGATGGTCGTTCGTCCTAACAACGTTGAGGAAGATGGGTTTTGGAGATGGGTTCTGTAGATGGGTAATTGCGATGTACACAGCAGCCAGCTCTGCAGTCCAGGTGAATGGCCACCTCTCGAGGTCCTTCCAATTAACACGCTCAAGGCTGTCCGCAGGCGCCTCTCTTGTTTGTGCTGCAGTTGGAGGTCTCGCTGAACTGCATCCGCAAGCATCAGATCATCAAAGGAGTGCAGGGCTAAAGCCCTAGCAGATGATCAGTATTTTATCTCTGAGAACTCAGTGACCTTGCTGGGGGCAGTTAAATGAGTTCTGCAGGAATACTCGTTGCTCTCAGAGGCACAGGTTAATTGGAATAAGTCAGCTTTTATCCTAATCAATCTTCTGAGTTCTTGCAATTTTCTTTATAAAATGACTTTTCTGAATATATATATACCGGGCAGTTCTGTTTGTGACGATATATATATCGTCACATATATATATATAGATATATATATTGTCACACTGAAAATCAGAGCGCGAAGGCGGAAAAAACCAAAACAAGGAAAGGAAAAGAAGGAAGGAAGGAAAGCCCCACCCGTTCATCACCTCTTACGTACAAGGCCAGCCACGTGGATGACAGGTTCAGCGCTGGCTGCCCCCATCCCCGTGTGTCACAAGGACCCACTTGCACGCAGCCAA